CTTCCTTCCTTCCTTCCTTCCTTCCTTCCTTCCTTCCTTCCTTCCTTCCTTCCTTCCTTCCTTCCTTCCTTCCTTCCTTGCTTCCTGTTTTTGCTGAAATTACTGTTTTACTCCTCCATAAACAGGGTAATTTTCTTGGCAACCCTGGTTCCCATGGAGCAAATTTATTTAAAAAATGAACATATTTGCAACTATAATGTTAGAGAGGAGAATCAGGAAATATGTTCATGGCAGTAGTACTTGCCTTTGAGTGTCAAAAACTAAGATTGAGATAATAGTGCTGAGGGACAGAATTTCTCCAAGGATATTCAGTTTTGCCTGAATCTGCAAAGCGCATGGTACAAATGTATTTGTAACCAGTACTATCAGCAATTGGTCATGTTTACAACTCCCTTTTCGATATTATTTCAGTTCAAGAAACTCACAGTTGCTCACTTAGGAAATCAGTTTGATCTTTTGTTTTTCTCATGTTGCCCATCTTCCAGTCTACTGAGTTGTTGCCTCTTATCTCTCAGCTCCTGTTGCCACAGCATCTGGTCCAAACTTCTCTCTGGCTGATCTGGAGAGTCCCAGTTACTACAACATCAATCAAGTGGCTCTTGGTAGACGGTCAATAACATCTCCACCCTCTAGCAGGTAGGTCCTCTACAGTCCTTGTGTAATGCAGAAATCTTTTATTCCATTGAAAGAGCCTTGGAACCAAATGGCATCTCTTGTAGTAATGTTAGTCCCAACTGTGAGGGGGTGGGTAAGCACCTGACTCGATACCTCATGACAGATTGGTGCTTACGATCTGTGCCTCCGTGGTATGTTCCCATTGCAGTTCCACCAAACGGCCCAAGTCACTAGATGACAGCGAAATGGAGAGTCCAGTAGATGATGTGTTTTATCCTGGGACAGGACGGTCCCCAGCAGCTGGCAGCAGCCAGTCCAGCGGTTGGCCCAATGATGTGGATGCAGGTAGGAGGTGCCAGTCTTTCCTCATCGGTTGACACAGATTGAGATGAGAAACAAAAGCAAAAGGACTAGTCTGATCTTTGCCCTTCATTAACCACCTCCATTAGGCCTGCACAGATTTCATCCACAATTGCATTTGTTCTTCTAATATGGTGATAATCTTTTTTAGATAATGCCTTGTTAATGAAGAAGGTATAGGACAAGTGACAGTTATGTTTGTTTCAGGAGAGCTCTGTTTGGATTCTATAGACTGGAAGGAGCTATTTAGGGAAGCTGTTCAAACAAGCTGGGATATGGTTGCTTACAACAGATATGAAGCATAGCCCTTTAATGGACACATACTTAAATACAGAACTAAGTGAAGTCTGAGTTTAAAATTTGGTTGTGAAATTAAGTTAAGCCTACATGGAGGTGGGGGATAAACTGGGATGATTAAATGGGATTGGGCAAAGATGCCTCATGAGGGAAGGAATAGATATGAGTCCAGTATGGATGTGATCTGAAAGCAAAGAGTACATATCTTCCTAACACTATAGCATGTAAGAATATATAGGGCTCCAGAGCATGAAGCCCAGTGAGATAATGTGTATTGAAATATTACATAAGCGTAATGGAACCAATAGTAAATAGTACACATTGAATTAAGAATTATTCTCATGAAATTCATATAGACTTCAAAGATTGTAATACAAATCTGCCATGGCCCTGTGTACTTTTGCAGAATGAAATATCTACATGGCTGCCTCAAAAAATGCTAGCTTGTGAGTGTGAATGAGAACATATCGGCATCTATATCTTGGATACATGCATGACAAAACCTTCATGAATAAAGAGAAAGAGGATTAATGTCCAGGATAAAGTAGTTTGTGTGCAGGATTATGGGAATGAAGAAGCAGCTACATAGTTTGGGGGACTGAGCAATGGACTCTAGTGTGAGGCATGGCAGCTGTCCATACTGGGATTTCTTACAGTGCTGGGAATCAACTGTCCTAATTATTTACATGAATGGATTCTAGCTGCATTGGAATGAGTGAAATAAATAGGAGTGAGGGACAGGATGCTGGTGGTTAGAGTGAGCTGGCTATCCATGGTCCAGATATATACTTGGCTTATCTGAAACCTCTCTGGCAATTCCTAGTTTTTCTGATTAAAGAACTGCAAAGTAGGCTTGACCATATTTGAGATACAAGGAAGCTGAGTTCAGTTCTCCAAGTAGGATATACTTTATATTTTGATTGATGCATAAAACTTTTGCTGTAAACTTTAAATAGCAATTTGCTGATATTACATTTATTATTCTTTTATTGGGTATTCAGCTGTTTCTTAGTGGGGTGTTTTCCTTCATTCCAGAAGAAATTATCCTGCATTCTTTAACCAATTGGAATGAAGAAAGAAATGTTTTAAAAAATCCAATCTTCTTCACAAAAGCTAAATTTGCTTTATTGGAAATATTACCAGCCCGTGTAGTGTCTATGGTGAGGTTCTCTTGTATACAGTTACAGCTTCCATCACTTAAAGTAATCCACTGTTCAACTCTGTTTTCCAAATACTGTCTTTTCTTCTGGGGATTGGATATGCTCAGTCAGTAGCCCACTAGGTACTGGAATTACTGTAAGTCTATGATGACAACATAGGAGATGGAAGGAAGATCCTTAATATTGTAGTGACCTATTTCAGTACTCTTACATCATTTTTATACGTTAACATGGAAAGTCTGGCTATTCTTCTGAACACCTTTGCATAGTAATATCTTTGACTTACCTCACAAATACACACATGTATGTGTACACATACATTTGTAACAAGTCAGATGTCATAGAAGAAAAGGAGCATTCCCTGTGCACATGTTTATGGAAATACAGTGTTAGTAAAGCATACCTATGAAAAGGCTTGTGAATTTTGCTGTCAGAATAAAGCAATGGGCAGCTATGTCTGGATGATGCTCTACTTAAAGTTACCAGGGTAGCTTCCAAGGAAGAATAGGAGCAGGAATTGAATGCTTCATTAAAAGGAGCGGGCTTTCCCCATTAGCCTTCCAACGCAGCACGTAGCACATATCTTCTTGAGCCAGTTTCCTAAATGCTTTCCAAGCTGCACCTCCTCTGTGCTTGCAGTACATTTGATAGGTCAAGATTATCCAGCTGATCTGTAGGGAATCATTATGGGAGTGGGTTTGTTTTGTACTTAGGGCTTGTTCTAGTTGCAGCTTTTAGTTACACATTTATAATCCCATCACATTGTCCCCTGTTGTCTTAGATAATTTGATCCCAAAGGTGTGTCTTCCCTTTTGGAAGGCTGAAGGCTGTGGAACAGGCTGTATTCAAACACATTCTTTCTCTTTCTTTTATCTCCCTCTTCCTCCTTTGTCTTGTTGAGATTTGTTCCCAACCATCTGAACAAATCGCCAATTAAGCAGCACAGCTGCAGGGCTTGTATGAACAGCTGGAGAGACCATCCAGCCGTCTGACAGAGACAGGTGTTCACAGCTGGCTGGCAGCCCCCCTCCCTATCCCTGTGCACAGGTATCAGGTGTTAGGCAGCTGGCATGAGATAACAGGCTGGGGGCTTTTCTCTCTCGGGCCCCCTTGCCTGCTGCTGAAGTGCCAGATTGTGCTGGATTAGAAAGATAGTGACAAACAGGAATGGCCCATTTCTGTAAGCAGCACTGTATTCGTCCCCCAATATTCAAGGGGTATACCACCAGATTGCCTGTTTTACATTTGTTGAGATGACTTTTTTATAACTCACAATCCTGTTTCCCAGGGTGTGGATGCTTTTAGTCAAGATGAGACCACAGTGTTCTAAGAATACACACAAAAGAAATCCATGTGTAGATTTTAAATAAGCTTTGCTACTACATCACCTATCTGTATAGCATTTCACACCCAAGTGAACTACTCAAAGACAGATGGCTTGTAGTAACAATGGCTTGTGTGTGCATTAGGGTGGAGGCTAGGGGTGTGTGCATTAGGGGTGGAGGCTAGGGTGGAGTCCAGGAGCCACCAAATCAGTGATGCTCCAGGGCAGCAACATCAGAGCTATGTACAGCAGGTACTTCCAGCAATGTACAATGAAATGTTACAGTATAGTGTTTCTAGTTCTAACTATGCTGTCCTGCCCTTTTCTTCTATATTCCATTCCACTCCCCAGCTCTTAGCAGTTGACTTTTCATGATTGCTGAGCATATTAAATTCTTCTTGAGCTCTTTGTGGACTACCTAATAAATCCTCCTCTCCCATTGTATTACTGCTAATCTTGAATTCCACTAAATCTGGTAATATTTTCCTGTTACACATGGATCTGTACCATTTTGATTATATTATAAACCTCTTTCAGAAACTGAGTTCACTGTTAATACATACCAATTAATAAGGTGCTATTACAGGCAGATCTTCTATGCAAGTTTCAGTAAGGTTTTGTGTGGCTTCTGTGGGAACAGAATGCGGGATATGCCTTTTTATGTTCTTAAAACATAGGGAATAACCCTGCTAAGTGGCTGTTCCAAAAAAGGCATGGTTGAGCAATATTCTTTGTTCCCCTATTTGGCTTCAAAGTCAGATAATTCCAACTCCTGAAGAAATCAAGTACAAAAATGAAAATTAGCTATATTAATTAATAATAAATAACAAAAACAGCTTTGCAGATTAAACTTGCTAGCCTATTTAATAAAGAATTTGATATAATGAGAGTTAATTGCTGATGACAGCAGTATCTCTTGAAACTAGACATAGTCAAGCTAGAAATAAGAGGTATTATTCACTGAACAGCTGCCTGAAGAGAGAAGGTAATAAATCCTTTGACCAGAAGAACCTTAAGCATATATCACACTTTCTAAATACATGGTTGGCCAAATGAAATGATCTGACCATCTCTCTGACAGTTCAACATTTTGTTCTTGAGTTTGCCCAGCTATTTCTGAATACTTCTGAATATCAACCACTTATTTTTTAAGCTTTCGATTCAAATGGCATTCTTACATATTTAAACTTTAAATATTAAAGTTTGAATTTCTTGATTTACTTTGTATTAGTTGATAATTTATGTGGATGATATATTGTGTGGATACGGAAGTCTTTTTGTCCTTCACTTCTTGTTTACAATATTTGTTTCTATTGCACTGCTGTTTCTGGCAAACTCTTTTTTTTTCTGGGACACCCAGATATATAGAAAGTATTACCCTCAATGAAATGTGTAATTTGTGTGTTCAGGCTGCTACTAGACTTACCCCATAAACTTCTGAAGAAAAGTTTGCACTGATACAGCACTGAAAAAAAAAATGCTATGAGATTCCCCTTCCTCCTTCAGCAATGCCCTGCCATTTTAACTTACTTAATTTCATTGTTAAAAGATATGTGTTTCTCCATCTTCAGGGCTGGCATACATATTTCCTCTCCTGCCCCCATTGCAAAGCTGCTCCCCTCCTGTTGCAAAATTTTGTTTTACAGTAACTACTAACACCTCCAATTTCAACTGCAGCAAAAGTGCTCTCAGCTAGAAACCCCATTCCCAACTTCCCCATTCAAAGTTGCAATTACTGCCATTTGTATTTGTCTACTGTATGACTACTGAGAGTATGAAAAACAGGACAAAGATGTAACTTAAATACTTCAACCCCCATCACCAATGTATGTAGTCAAAACTGAATCCCACCATAACAGTTTTAAAGCAACATTAAAAATTTTGAGATATATCATTGTGGAACTTCTTATATGGCTCTTGATACTTTTATACAGTATCTTGATACTGTAATATACAAGGATATTAAGCCCATTTTTAAAAGAAAAAAGAAAAAAAAGTATTATTGATAACAACAAACACATTCCAAGATTCTCTGATTATAACCTATAGTCCAGTGTACTTATTTCCCAGGAGCAGACTAGTCCTTGAGATATAACTGTAGGGTCTGCTTTTTCCATGCCTGATTTTAGTGAGATTTTCTCATAGGTCTTACAAGAGGTTATAAGGTGATACAATTGTTGCAAAATCATTTAAAATGCAGGCTGTTCTTCTTTCCTCTTTTAGCAAGGCCCAGTCCTACCACAACCTGGTATATAGGATGGAAGAAAATGGAATAGCCTGTTTTGTTTTGCTTTGTTTTGTTTCTCAGATTTGTACAACACTGTGATTCTTGCAACTGGAGACAGTAGATGTGTGCTTGGCACTCTAGCTTCCCACCTTGATAATATCGGCTACTACCACCACTTCAAAGAAGTGTATCAGTCAAGTCAAGAGAGCCAGTTTCACGTAGGGGACAAAGTCCTGGACTAGAAACTGGGAGACTGTGAGCTCTAGCCCTCCATTAGGCATGAAAGCTGGATCAGTGACACTGCACCAGTCACTCTCTCCCAGCTCAATCTAGGGAGTATTATGTATACTGCCTTGAGTTATACAAAATAAAGACAGAATATAAGTCTAATAAATAAATAATAACTTCTGGGGAGAAGTAGGAGTCAAGAGATTCAGGAAAATATATCAGGAAAGGTTCCTTATGTTATTTCAGCTGTGCTGATCAGTGAAGAAGTGAAATGATTTCTGGAAATCAATCAATTTCAATAGTTTTCTTGTGAATTATTAAACTTTTTTTTCTGTACCTGTGCCCTTTATTCTGCATTTTTAGGCTATTATCAGTTTTCCTAGCACCCAAATAAGGCCTTGCTGAAATGACAGATGACAAATCTATGTCTTTGCAGGGAACTGTGGGGCAAACTTAAACAGCCTTTGAACAGATTTATATTGATGTTTAATAACTGTTAATTCAAAGGAGGAGAAGCAGTTGTTATGCAAATAAGTATTTTCAGTCGCATGGCAAACTCCACTGAAGCAAGACTGCTTTAGAACAAAGGCAAGAAACTGCTCTGGTGCAGGGTCTTTGAAAACCCTAATAAACATTCAGATTACATCTTGCCACTGAGGTATACCACGCTCAGATGTGCTCTAGGACAAGGAATAATGAGTAGCAGAGAGGACAAAAAATGATTCTTTCTTGAAAGGAAAGAAAGTGTTGCAATCAGATGGAGTCAAAACACTAATTTCTTGCATCTTGGTTGATTGATCCAGGTCTTAACAAGTGGTAGAACCTGGCTGATCTAGTCTGAGCTTGGAAGCTAAGGATATTTGAACTTGATTAGTACTTGAATGAGAGACTAACGGAATCCCAGGCCTGTAGGCTAGAGTAAAAGTAAAAAAAAAAAAACATCCTGGAAGAGGGCACAGGCAACCACTTCCATATTGTCTAGATGACTATGTGGATATCTCCATGAAGTCACTAGGAACCAAGCTTGACACAAAGGAGATTTTATTTACTGTTGATGGAGGCACTCCAAAGAGTCACAGAGATTGCCCTTGCTGTACTACATATTAAGTGCTGTAGAAATAATGAATAACAATGCTGTCTATCTACTTCTACTTCATTGTTGGCTTTTACGCAGAATAGATACGGGAGCTGCTTCTTTAACCTGTTCAGTGACAGGTAGAGAAACTAGAAATTGAAAGCAGCCATTCTCAATGTAGTCCCATAGATCTGTTGTAGAACATAAGTTGGACCACAGGAGTGAATGAAAGAGCATGGCTAACTACTAATCCATCTTTCCTCCATCTGTTAAACCATGAACTTTCTCCCTGATTCCTTGCCAGGACCGGCTTCTTTAAAGAAGTCAGGAAAGCTGGATTTCTGCAGTGCCCTGTCCTCCCACACCACCTCCCCGAGAATGGCTTTCACCCACCACCCGCTGCCTGTCCTAGCAGGAGTCAGACCAGGTGAGAACAAAGCCATTTTCTTAGGGGGGGGAATGGGTGGATTGTGGGCAAGGTGGGAGGCAAGGGACAAAGCTGTCTCCTTGGTAGGGCATGTCAGTACATTCAACCATCTCGGTTCTGGCAATGGTCTCTTGCTGTCTGTCTCTTTTTCTCTCTTTCACTTCCTCTGTCTTTTGTTCCCCTGCTTTCTTTTTCTTTTGCCAAGATGGCTTAACACATTGATTATAAACTGCATTCTCGAGAATTTATCCTTAAGATGACATGTAAAGAGGAAGGTTTTGATAAATCAGATTAACATGAAAGCCACAGCACCACGTTTGAGTTGATAGCAGTGGATAGATGGACTGAGATCCAGTTTAATATATGATAGCTTCATATGTTCATTTGAGAATCCTTTGGAAAAGGAGGCTTCAGAATGAATGGATCTACATTTAAATATTTAGTAAAAAACTGGGATATTTAAAGGTTGCATCTAAGAAAGGCAAGTCTAACCAATAGACTACATTTGATATACTGAGAGTTGTATGTCACATTTCTAGTGGCTTGCTGTTTCAAGGTAAAATACTTATGCTTGCTTCTCTGAGCTGTGCTTGAAATTGAAGTAAAACTGTAAGCCCCATGAAAATGAGGATGACAAACATATTTTCAGTACATTTCTTAAAATCTTTCAAAAGTCAGCATTTCAGTCTATTTTGAAAGTCTGTTTGGAGCCTGAATGGCTACACTTATTTCACTTCCGAAATTATTTTTTTCTTATTTTTACTTTTGTTATTTATACGCTGCCCTTCCAAGTCACTTTCACAGAATGGTCTTGTAATGAAAATAGAAATAAAATACTACAACAAAAGTAATGAAACTCATACCATAGAATAACAGCATTAAAACAGCAGATGGGAGAATATAATGAAATCCGATCACTGGAGAAAAAATACCAGTTTAAAATGCTTCGGGGATTTTAAAAGATCTTCACCTGACATTGAAATCCCATCAGAGCAAGCAAAGGGCCATAGGAGTGTATTTTTGCCACCAAGGTGCCAGTACAGAGAAGGCACTAGATTTGTCTTCTGTCTGCCATTTTTGTGACAGTGAGTTCATCCAAAGAAGGACCTCTAAAGATTACTTCATTGTATAGGTAGGATCATAAGGAAATAGGCATTTCAAAAAATAAATACAATAATTTCTTGAAGAGCAGGCTATAACTTGCTTGACCTTTTCCTTGTTTAAGTCATGGCATATTCAGCTTTTATAGTCTGTGTGCTTAGGTCAAATGAATAGGGACTCTGTTTAGGTGTTGTTTACAAACGCCTACAACTAGTGTTTATGTTTGGGAAGAACCATGATAAAACTGGAGGTATTTAGTTATGTTTCTTGTAGCCAACTAGAAGCAGAATGTTTGAAGTTTAGGGATACTGCCACAGTTTATGGTGTCTGGCTTCTGTTAGGATGATGCTGTGGTTTCCAATTAATAGTGACTTTATGTCACTGATAGTGATGTTATAGTGCATCTGTCCATTAATCCAGTGGTTTGTACAGAACCGTAGTGATTGCACACACGTGTGGCAGTAGAGGGAGGGAAGAAATAGAAGAAGGCATTTTAAGTCATGTAGCAACATATCTAATGAAGTGGTTCAGGTAAGGAGAGTAGAACAAGCAAGTTTAGGCTACATTCCTCAAACCTGGAGTAAGCCACTAAGCTGCACTGTCAAATGGCTTGCCCTGAAGCATCATGCAGGTTTTGAAAAGGGCTACTAGCATTTTAAGTACCAGTAGACTGAGGAGTTCCTTGCTTGTCTCTGTATGCTTTAGAACCTGCCATAGATGGCAGTGACATTTTGTTCATGTCTCACTGTAAACTTAGCGTCAGTTGAAATGCTCTATCAGAGATAGGTAGGATTTATGGAGATGAAGGTTGTCTTCTGAGAACCAATATCAGTGGTATGTTTGGAGAGAGGCACATGCTGCCCAGTTCTTGCTTGAGTCTCCATCTAGTCTCCACTTGTATGAGCTTATGGTATAATACTACTGTGGTGATCTAACAGAAGCATTTATTGTGGCAGGGCTGATATCTCTCTCCTCTCTTTCCTGCAACTCCTCAGACAAGAAGTGACAGTGTGTAACAAACAGCTTTTCAAGGAGTAGGCAGTATAGGACTCCCAAATAATGGGTTTAAAGAATTGTGTAAGCTATATTACAGAAAGAAGTAAAGCTGTAATATTAAAGGAAGCAGATGTAAGCTAAAGTAGGTCAATGTTAGGCAGAAACAATTTGTTTCTGACCCGCCATTTGAAGTACACATTGAATACAGTTGATCCCAAGCTTAGGTGAAAGCCATTGGCTGAAAGGGACAGTAATTAAACAAGCAGTCATTTTATAAAAGGCACCAAAAACTATTTGGGGAAGACATACATTCTACCCAGACATAGGTATAGCGTAGTATAGAAATCACATTTCAAAAGCCTTTACTCATGAATCTCAATGAAGATTTCATGTTCTTTAGTTCTGTCAGTAACACCTAGTTCTGAACTCATAGGAAGGTAGCAGTGTGTGAAGTTGTTAATGCAACACGCATGAATTATTTTAAAAAAGTTATTTGAAAGCCATACAATTTTGAAAACCACACACAGAGACATAAGCCACAGATGGAGCTATAAGTGAGATATGTAATTTTGAAAAAAAAAGTTTGGTTGGAGGAATTTTAATATGTTACAATATTTAAGGGCCAAACTACACATTATACAGAAGATCCATAATACCAATTTCATTTGAGCCACAGTGTGGTGGGAGCCTTCCTTTCACATAAGGCCTTCCTCTCACATCATTTTCCCAGTTCAAATTTCTTGTCTCCAGCTGTTTGTTTTTTTCTCCCTTGTAGAGCAAACAGCAGACAGTGATGCATATATTTTTAATTGGATTATACACCTCCTTCCCCTGGTGCTGAAATTCATTAAAAAAAAGAAAGCCTTTTTTATTATTAAAAAGTGAGGCATCTTTTTTATAATGTGTGATTTGGCCTTGCATACGGGTCATCTGATGAATCTTCCTGTGCAAAGAATTGCCCAACAAGTACACTTTGCATTTGCGTCCCTGCAGTTATCACCTCTGAAAATGACAGAACAGTTTGTTCAAATCCCTGGATTTCTCTTACCATTGTTTACTCAGTCAGCTAGCCCAAGAATAGTAAATTGGAAATTGGCTTGGGGTGCCTAAATCAGTGAAAGAATTACAGCTCATTCCCCTTTTCTATATGCTTAATTTCTTACCCTCCTTCTAGCTGCCCAGTATAGCCTATATTTTATTGTTCTGAATACCTGCTTTGCTCTCATCCTTATTCCCTATTCCAGTTTCCACCATCTGCCTGGTGTATAACTCTGTGTAGGAGGAACTTCAGCCACATAGGGGAGTCAATCCCCAGTCCACAACAGCTGGTTCCTTGGCTGGTTTCCCTCTTCCCTTTCCATTCTAGTTACTAATGTGCCAGTAATTCCCAAAGAAAGGAATATGTTATGCACTTTTGCCCTTTTATACTTGGGTGAGAGAAGTTATTTATATATTGCTGTTAATGTACATTATGTTTTATAGAGCAGTTTATGAGGGAAAGACAGCCTTAACAAGCGAATGAATTAGAAGATGAGAGTAGAAGGGAAGGCATTAGAAAGAAGAAAAAAATAGACGAGAGCATAGTAATAAGCCATAAATGTGAGAAAATATAGGTACTTATACTTCATTTTGATTAGGTTATCACTTTGAAATAAAGTATATAAGAAGTATAATTTGTGTGGAAGGGGACTTCAATAAGATTTAGTAAAAAATGTTAAAGGTATAAATACATGTTCAGAAGCAAATGTATACCCCATTCTTACTGCATGTACATGTGTATGATACATACATGGTTGTTGCAAATTCAGGATGTATAACGCATGCAGCTCAAATCTGCTTGCACATCTTTGCAAATGCTAACCTCTTTTGAGAAAAAAATAACTACCACACCTTGTTGGGATTGTGACAATCCTTAATTAAAACAGCCTTGAAAACAAGAATATGGGGATCATTTTTCAGCTGAGGCCTTGATTGGTATAGGTAGCTATTGGGCTGTGTCAAACTGAAGCAGCATGGCATGGGGGTTGTTACTGACATCTCTTTCTGTCCCTCTCTCACTCTCTCTCTCTCTCTCTGCTTCTCTCTCTATTTCTGTCCATCTGTCCTTACACTCTCCAGGAAGCCCCCGTGCCACAGCGTCGGCCCTGCACTTCCCGTCAACCTCCATCATCCAACAGTCCAGCCCTTACTTCACACACCCGACCATCCGCTACCACCACCACCACGGCCAGGACTCGCTGAAGGAATTTGTGCAGTTTGTATGCTCGGATGGCTCAGGCCAGGGCTCTGGGCAGGTAAGAGCCTCGCACCTCAGCCCAGGGATGCCGGCCTGTCCACCAGAACCCTGCCTTACGGCCCTTTTCTGCCTCCTCTCCCTCTCTGTCTCCCTCCCAAACACTGTCTGTTTGCCTGCCTGCCT